AAGACAAAGAAAATTATAGTAAAGACTGGACCAAAGTATCTGTTGAATCCAAGGATCTCAAAAGGTCCCACAAAAAAAAATTATCCACTATGACCACCAAGCAGTCCAAATGATATGTGAATTATCTGCAAACAAAAAGCATCAATGAGATCAAAAAGATCCACCTTGTCATTTTATATTTTTGGCCACTCAAAGGGAACTTATGGAAGTAACAAGGAAGTAAGCAAGAAAGACAAAGCACAAGTACAAACAGTATTTCCTGGTTATCTCAGAGAGGGATGACAACCAGCTAAAACTCTAATCAGCTTGTACTGGCATGCTTCTCCCTAACAGCAGACTAATTCAGTTAAAATTCCTGCAAAAACAAAATGATGCAGGAAAGAAGATCTTTCAAGGTCAGCCCAAATTTTGGGGGCAATATGAGTACCTTGCAACACAGCATGATAGGCTAAGATGTCAGAGGAGCTTTAGAGTCACAAGTTAAGAAAAATAATATCAGTGAGACCCAGACATTCAGGAAGACTATAAGGTAGAAATGTTAGTCTAACTAAAAGAATCAGAAAAACAAGATAACAAGTAGCTAATAACTGTACAAAAGAATAAAGTCTCAAAACAGAGCATATAATACCACGCAGGGCAGAAAACTGATGATGGGTCAAAGCAGAAGACCATGTGCATGGAAGACACCCCCAATAATCCACCTGAGGGACAAGAACTTGAGAAGTAAGTTGAGCAGTGAAAGTTTTCTCCTCTAAAAGGCCACCTGCATGATAAATGGGAGGAATGTGAAGATTATTAATATCTTGCAGGTTTTTAAAAGGATAAAAACAACCTAAATATAAGAAGAAGGTGTAAGAAATAAAGACAAAAATAATTGAATCATCTAATACGATCAATCAACCTCAATAATAACAGAAATTTACTCAAGATTTAAAGTATCCAAGAGAAAAGAGAAATCAAACAAACATAAATTCCATCAGAATTACAGCTAGTAGACAAATTCTGCTGAAGATACAAAAGGCAAATATGCCTATGCAGAGGATTGATCTTGTTCAAAATCACGAGAAAAGGACAGATGTTCTGTAACTTGAGCATCCACATGATGTTAAAATTACCTAGGAAACCGGCAGACAATTTAGCATTAACATCCCAAATATGTTGATCAATGCATGCTGACAATGCAGCCACAAGATCACCCTGCAAACCAGAGGCAGACTGTGTGAGAAAGGTCTCCAATGAAATAGTAAAATTTCCAATCTTTATAAAATCATAAGCATAAGAATTGACATTGATTTTAGAATTAAACGCAAAGATAATGGCAGGACTGGCAACAATAAAATCTGAATTATGGCAGGAAAACAAAATTTATATGGTCTCCTGATGCATGAACATTAAGTTGGTTTGTTGTTTGCCATTTTTTGGCACAAAGCAACATGGCTATCTGCACCAAACAACCTGTAAAAATGTTAAAAAGTGAAATTCAATAAAATGTAAAAATGAATCGAGTTAAAATTAAACAATGTGCAAAAAATCTGATAATAGAATTAAAAAGGCCAATGGCTCATAAAAATTAGAAAATACAATCAAGTTGGACAGTGTCACCATTACCAATTAGACTGTCCAATGTCAGGCATAAACACTTAGAAAACTAGTGTCTAAACTGGTGCCATCACTCAGAGTCTTAACGACGACATGACAGTCAATAAACTGCTGCTCAATAAACCTCATATTCAATGACTGACATGAAATGTGGAAGTTGTCGACATATAGTCTGTTTGCAACAGTAGGAGGAAGTTGTGTAGTGATAGCACTAATCTTGACACTGAAAAGTGTGACACTCAAGACACAGATCTGAGGGATTCCAAGTTGCTGTGTGAAAGAACGGGAATGTGTCAACATCAAATGGACTTGGAATCACCTGTTGAGTAAAAAGTTCTGAATAAAAATGGGTAGATGGCCACACAACCCATATGAGTGGAGGACCTGCAAAATGCCATACCTCCACATAGTGTTGTAAGCCTTCTTAAGATTGAATAAAACAGAATCAAGATGTTCCTCTTCAGAAAAGCTTCCGTGATAGAGGTCTCAAGTCAAATCAGGTGATCCATGGTGGAGCACTGTCAATGGAACCCACACTGGGTGGGTGAGAGGAGGTTGTTTGATTCAAGGAACCAAACAAGATGAGCAGTAACCATCCTCTCTAAGACCTTATAGAGATAGCTAGTCCTTCCAAGGCTTAGAAAATGGGAGGATAATAGCCTGGTGCCAAGCACCAAGAAAAACATTCTCCTGCCAGATCCAGTTAAAGACAACCAGAAGAAGAGCAAGAGAGGCAGGAGAGAGATGGCACAGCATCTCATAGTGAACATCATCAGCTCCATCTGATGCACTGCCAGACCAATGAAGAGCAAGTTTGAATTCCACTAGTGTAAGGGGGTGATTATAGTCATAGAGACGATCAGCCTGAAAGGAAAGGGGCAATCATTCTGCTAGAGACTTGATGGCCAAGAAGGCGGGTGCAGAAACAGAAGTGCTGGATGGATAAGAAAAGCTCTTGCCTAGAATATTGGTGATGCTCTGTACATTAGCAATTTCCTGGCCATTGGAGAGCAAGATGTAAAGGGGATAGTAAGCATACCTCCCATTAATCTTCTGAATCTTGTCCCATATGACTTTGGAACTGGTGGTAGAAAAGATGCTAGTTGTAAACTTAATCCAAGATTCCTTTTGACTTTGACAACTAACCTGCCAAGCATGGGCATGGGCCCGCTGGAAAGCAATGCAGTTGGAAAGAATGGGATACCTTCAAACGGTATCCCAGGCCTGTTTTTGAGCCTTCTGTGCCTACTGGCAGGCTGGAGACCATCATGGACAAGGATACCGTGGGAAGAGTGTCAAGGATTTAGGTATAGACTAAACAGCTGCTTGAATGATGCAATCAGTTACTGCCTCTGTGCAGTCATTAATAGATGGCAGTCTAATGACAGCAGAATCAAGTTACAAAAGATAGGTCAAAGAGAGCCATTTCCCCTGTTCCAACTTCCACTGTGGCACTCAGGTCAGGTGGCATCAACCAAGGCCAATCTCCCTCAAAACAATAGGAAGATGGTCACTGCCCTGTGGGTAACTGTCAACCCTCCAAGAAAAATGAGAGAAAAGTGAAGGGGAACAGATAGATAGATCAAAAGTAGTAAAAGACTGACTAGGTGCATGTAAATAAGCAAAGGAACTAGTATTGAAGAGAGAGAGGTTGTGATCTGAGAGTGACCATTCCCATCAACATCACCCGAGGTGATTGTGTCCATTAAAGTCTCCCAAGATTAAAAAGGGAGACAGCAACTGCTCTATGAGAGCATCAAGGTCTGATTCATCGTAAGTCTCTCCAGGAGAGAAGTAGAGAGAACAGTGATGACACGACTCAAGGAAACACAGATGGCTACAGCCTCCAAGGGTGTATTGATGGCACAGAAAAGGTGGGCACATGCTGGTCGACCAGTAGTGTCATCCCTCCATGCACTCATCCATCACACAACCTGTTATTCCAGTATAAAGAAAACTGCTGAAAGGTGACTGTATCAGCAGGTTTCAGGAATGTTTCTTCTAAGGAAAGACACACAGGATGATAGGAAGTGATGAAGGTCTTAATGTTATCCAGATTAGAATGCAAACCTTGACAGTTCCACAGTATCAAAGTGGCCATTTTTACTTAGGTGGAGGAGTACTGGGCAGAGAACCCTTCTGTTTATAATCACACCATTTTTCTTTATTAGGAGGAGGTCTGTTGACCTCCATGGATCATGCCCTGGGTCGAGTGGGCAGGTCTCAGTCAGTACACATAGATTCCAGCAATTGAAGGCCTGAACGAATAATTGTTCTGCATCTTGGGGCCAAAGAAAATGGACCCGAGCAGACACCATAAGCTGGGGACGAAGGAGGTGGACCCAGGCAGTCACTGGAAGGAACAATGGGACAGAGATTGGAGTAGATATTTATCCATAGTGAGCAAAAGAATCTTCACATGATGCAAAAAAGACTCTGATGGAGGCACAGAAAGGTCTGTATGCACACCCACTGTAGCAGTGGAGTGGAGTGCAGCAGCGTATGTCCTTGAAGGAGTCGGGGACAACAACTTTCAAGCCTCCAGGCAAACACGTGGGTGTATGTTCAGATCCCAAAGGAGATAAAGTGAAAATACAGAACCTTCCCTGGGAGGTCCCCTCACTACGTACAGGTCTCCACCTTGAGGGGCTGAGCATTAAATCACATGGAAAATGTGACAATAGAAAATTATAGGTTCTGCACTTAGAACTTTGAGTCAAGTTTGTTATAAGTATAAAAGAGCAACCCAACAAGGAAAGGCTTTCTGTATTTCAGAGGTAGGGTCTACCAGACTTCAATATTTAGTTAGCTTCCATTTAAGGATCAATTCCAGCATTTATCTAGACTTTGGCAAACATTTTATTGACATTTAATAGGATAAAGCTGCCTGAATATAACATCAGATGAAGTATGTTTTAATGATTTTAATTATTTTAAAAGCTGCATTTCAAACCAAAAACACTAAAGATTTGATAGTATAAAACAATTGATGTACAATATCAAGAAAAATGTATATCTTGTTTCCGAGATTAGAATATTCAAATTAACTATTAGTTCAGTTAGATTTGCACTAAAAGTTTAAACAAATACTCTAAAAATTCTGTGACCTTTATATTATAACAAAAATCCATGAGAGTTCTGGTGGTATACATTATTTTTTGCTGTAACTTTTCTATAAATTTAAAAATGGTATTCAATATGGTTAAACAAATGGCTGAATTTCAGTAAGTTAAAGAAATTAAACTCAATGGGCACAATATATAAATTCATAAATGTTGTTGTTCATAACATTTCATATTAGTTTTCACTAATACATTCTATTTTCTTGAGTAAATTAAGAAGCAAAGATAAACAGCACACAATAAAATAGAAAAACACATTCCTCTTAATGTCATACTAACCTTGATGTTGTTTAACAAAGAACTATTACACTGTGCTCTTTCATCTTCATTTGGTTTCAATTGAGGAATGGTGGTACAGTGTTGTTTGGTACTGTCTTTACAATTTATTCTGTGGGTGTTAAATACTCGTACAAGCTTTCCCACTTGGTCACCATACTCCCCTGAAGCTATTTCTGTAACTGTACAGTACATGTGGTTAAATATCCAAATGTGGACAAAAATTACAGACTAAATTTCAATCTAGTATAAGTCAGTCAAGATGGTAAGCCTAAAAGATTAATGATCTTAAACAACATGTCAAAAGAAGTGAATAAAAAACTATCATTATTAAAATATTTTTAACCCTTTCACTGCAGCTGGGACATATATTTCCCAATGCACTGGGAAATATAAATACCAGCCACAGTGAATGGGTTAATAAACAAAGAACAAAACTTATGTCTACTGATTCATGTTTTTATTTAAAATGTATCATATTGTATGTAATTTAATTTTGAAGAGACACTACTTTCTCAGTTTACACTTTTGTGATTTGTCATTTACATCAACAGTTTCTGCTTTGTCACATCAGCAATTTTAAATTCAAAAAATCCCCTATCAATAAATTACTTTAATCATTTATACAGTTTGAGCTCATTATACTAAAATGATTTTGGACCCTCACAATGTTGTTACAATCCATGTCACTGTGTTCAGTCATGCTTTATGATAATTATGCATCTTCTGGACAATAGTCCTGCAGTGTGAATTCATTTCCAAAAGGCTCGTTTGCAAGGCTGTCATGTTGAAAATACACCCATGCTTCCTACTGACTTTCCATCGAATGTACAAGGAAGATGATTTCCCAGCACTTGTTTCAACAGTCTGATCTCAAAGACATTTACAGGTGCTGCATCTAGCAACTTTACCAGTATGTCTTCATATGGAATATCACGAATACCTACTTCATTCTCTAGCTGCATGATGTATGCAATGGTTGTTGTGGAAGTAACTTGTTTTGCTTTTCTAGATGGAGATCCTTCTTGGTTATGTTGAGTACTGTTGCCTGAGACATACAAACTACATTTTCCACTGAACTTTGTATTTGTGAATTCATGACTAGTGAGGTACAACTTCTGTCAGGTCTCCAAGTTCTTTCATATTCCTTTGTATTCCAATGCAATTAAATACAAGGGATATTTCCCATCTTAGAAATGATAAATCCCCAATCTGAAAACATCTTTAGATTCTGAGTATATGAATATTTTTTTTTTTATCAAAATGGGCTGTTACATACTTTACTCAAATATGACAGAGCTTCAGTTGCATCACACTACCTAAGAAATGCCAAACAATTTCAAAATGTAGTTCTGATGCATGCCATTAAACTGTGACTTTATCTTGACTGTGGTTGTTATATGACTTGTTGCTTTGCATGTTAATTTTTTAATTTAATGTACTAGATATATCAGTAAATAACAAATAAAATGCTAAGATATTTACTGAATTTAGGTTCAACAAGAATTATATCTTATGTAAATCATAATAAAATAAATAAGAAAGGAAACCTTCCTTAAAACAGCAAAATCACATAAAAATATCAGTTCAAACAACCTTATACAGATTGTTAAGTAATATATATCAACTGTTTATAATATCTATAAAAGTCAACTTGAAAGGAGGATAAAAAAGATGAAGTGGAGTTCAGCCTGTAAAAAGGCACACATATATAAGAATAATAATATATTTGTGATTTAACAATCTGAAACAGATGCAGGAATGTTTCAGAGGATTCACTGGTTTGATCAACAGGCAATGTTGAAAATATCGGTCTTCATAATATACTTGTTAAAGATTTCCACTTATTAACCTACTAAACCCTTTAATTTTTTAGAGTTGTACTTGGTGATTTTTAAGTATATGATGCTGATAAATCTGCGAAGTAATATAATTCATATGTATTAGGACAATTTGATGTGTGCATAAGGATACTTTCGAAACAATGTTCATTGGTATTTGGATACCAGAATACACTGTAGTGGTTGTGCAGCCAAAACAACCTGCAGGATGAACTGTGTTATTAACAGGAAATGATAGTTTAGCAGTTTTCCACTTTTTGTAGCTCAGCCTGTAGTAATCCAAACTAACATATTTTCAGTGAATGTGCTCTACTGGACCCTTACTTCACATACCAAATTTCAAGGCAATCCATTAAGAAATACACAAGATATAAAATCTCCAATTTCGATTGAAGTTCTTCCTTTATGTTTTATTTGCATCAAAGTACCAAAAATTTATTTGATAGGAAAATATACGCAACTTTTATGGATTTTGTTGCAAATTTGGTACACTAATAGATCTTTACAACCTATTATCAGGTGTCAAATTTGGTCTAACTATAAGCCACATGTGCAAAGTTATTCAATCATAACTGCTCAATTTTGAACAAAATGTTTGCATACACCTATGCAAAAGATCATGTGAGCTATTGGTCTGAAATATTTAATATAGCTTCACCTAAGAGTGAAGGTGGACCAATTTTAGTTTTTTTGTCATTTAGATTAAAGATGGCTGATTTAGAGCAGCAAAATTATAGGGTGAAAGAACATGCAGATACATAAGTATGGGTTAGGCCAATCAAACTAGATTAGCAGTTTCTAGCTCAAGTTTTCAAAAGAATCATACAGGTGGACGGTTATTATTCACTGCCAATTTTTAAGCACAAATTAGCTAAATTTTATTAAGTTCTCCTAATTAAAGAGCATTTAGCATTACGTGATATTAGTTTAAGCAATTAGCATAAATAATGATGCTTGATACGGCTGTACCGAGTGCATGCGGGTGATGACAAGAAACTGTTAATCTAGTTTCCATGATGTTACTATAAAGGAAGTCATTAACATTGTTTTAAAGAGGAAGAACTACCACATATCTTTTAAAGAATCTGGTTGGTTCTGTAAAGTATAGGTCTGTTCCGAATAACAGGGTTGTGATTCTAAAGCTATAATTGGTTACTATTGTTTGTCACTTTCTTACTTGCTGTGGTTTGTTGGTGTGTTGACAAAAGGTCATGATATCTAATCAAAAATACCTTAAGTGTGAAAAAAGGTGCAACCTAAAAAAGCTTTCAGAGTGCGACTTAATGGAATGAAATCAAAATTGGCGGCAAAACTGGTACCTACATTTATAGCATTGATAAGAATTTTACAACCAATATTCATTCATTAGTTGACTTGGCCACGTATTTTGTTTTACCCACCATCATGCTATAAGTTGAACAAAAAATGCAGCCTGGCTAACTAATGAATGAATAGAATAAAATAGATGGACTAAAACTTGCATAGTTTATCTAGCTTTCTACCTAACATAGGCCCCCCAGTGGCACAGCAGCTTGTCTGCGAACTTATACCACCAGAAACCAGGTTTCAATACCTGTGGTGGGCAGAGCACAGATAGCTTATTGTGTAGCTCAATGCTTAACCAGAAACGAATGAATAACTAACATAGAAAGTGCTTTAAATTATTTCAATACTTGGTCAAGCTGAGCCCCAACAGCAAGATTGAAGGAAATGGTGCTCAGATGTCCAAATTATTATTCCACTGTCACAGATCTTTAGACCCTATAGCTGTCAATTCCATGAAACCTCCATCTTTTATTGATTACAAATAATACAATAGCAAATGTCAGAGAGAATTTATGACATGTTATGAAAGCAGGATGCTTAGTGGAAGACATGACATTTGACCAGCATTTATTTTATTGCTGATATCTACATAAAGCAAAGGCTGTATTGGTGGCAATTTCTCGCTAGAAATTGAGAGTTTAGCTCGAGAATGTATATAATGTAAGCACAAAATTCCACAGAAAATTACAATGCCTTAGAGGGTAGCAGAAAATGTAAAATAAATAGATTAGACTGAAGAATTGTCATGCGATATACAGAAAGTGAAGTTGGCATTTATATACCTTTAAAAATATGGAATTGAAACTTTTATGTTATTAAATTTGATCTATAAGTTATGTTTAATGTCAACTTTATTGATATACGTTTATATATAAATTAGTTTAATTAAATTTTGAATGTAACTGTAAAAGGCACTTTTACCTATTCGTAGTGAAAGGGTTAACTCTCTCAATATGAGCTCGGTCTACATGAACATTTTTTACTTGCATATAGTTTTAATACTATAACTTTTAATGCACTAAGTGTATCTTCACAAAATTTGCAGATTCTTAGTAATCATTACAAGTCGTTTGAAAACAAAAAAATCTGTTTTTAATGAAGTATTTTTATTGAAGATTTGTCCGTGAATATATCAAGTTTATTTTTTTTCTACCGGTTTGGGTGCAAAGTGTTTTCATGTTAAGATTAAAATACTTTTGATCATCTCAAATGTCATTTGTGTAATCTCTGAAACCTCCTACATACATTTCAAACGGTTTTTTCAGTAAAATTTTATATTTTATCTATTTTTCTACCCTAACTCTATACAAGATTGGTCAAATTGACTGACCTTGTCACCACTAAAAACAATAAAAATAAAACGAAATAAATCTAAATTACCCTTTTTTCTTTCTCAAATGGCTTCAAATTGTAACATGAAACTACATTTGTTTATCCTTTATTCTAAAATTTCTCTATTCTGAAAGTGCCTGTCCATGAAAGATTTTTGTTTGCCCATTAGCCTAATATCTATCTTTTTTCACTCTTTGTCCATTGTGAATTTTACAATTTTATTTGAATTCTTTATCAATTTTTAGGTCTATTCTTGTGTACAGAAAAAATCATGTACTTTAGAACTTTTTTTACGGCTGTTAATATTGTAGTACGGTAAAATACTATGTTTATTACTACATGAAGGTTGTGGCTTGTACCCGGTGCACGAGTACAACATCTGAAAACAATGAAAAATATGTTGCATATTGAGGGCAATTCACATCGTAAAGGTGGGGTTCGAACCCCCGGAACCCTACTCCTGTATCCAATACTGACAGACACATGTTCAAAGACGTGACGCAGCTCTCAGATGCTAAACAGATTTTTGTCATTTTCATGTCACTGCAGTTCTAGTTACTCAATAATATTCTATTTAAGGGATCATCTGACATTGTGTTGATCTGACTCATTTTATGAGCTGTACTATTTCCTATAAATAATTTCCAGACTGTTCTGCTATGATTAGTGTCTGGCGAAAAGCTTCAGCAGATATTTCCTTTGCAACATCTAAATCAACAATTGGTCCAGTTATCAATACTATTTTCTAGTTTTGAACAACTCGACTTTCAAGATCCACGTATCTACTTGTGCCAGTGTTTCCATTTATCAACGTCATATTTTAACATCTGTGCAAGAACTCCACTAACAGATGTTTCCGTTTATCAAAGCTATCTTTAAGTTTTGTACAACGAAAAACCTTTTCAAGTATCTTTATTTTTAATACTGATTAATAATCCAGAGTTTTAACCATCTGAAATTTATCTTAAACTATCATACCCACTACCGGCAGTAGATGTTGAGTGACAGTGTGATCTGGGACGTTATCGGATCTAGCACCCAGATCTTAATCTCCCCCCTTTTTTTTCTCAGTTAGATGCTGGCTATCTCTGCATCTGTTGTTTTGATTATGTCTGATAAACAGAATATCCCCAATGCTTTTGGGAGCTATAACTGCAGACATTTTCACTTTAAAATGATACCTTTTGTACAAATGGTATAATTTTACATTGTTATATTAGAACTTGGTTGGTGCGTTCACTTACTTATTGGCGCGTACATCTACATGTATAATAAATAAGTTGTAGGTTATATTATAACTTCGTCAGGGCTACACAGTGCTGAGAGATCACCTGTATGCTTTTGATGTAATACAGTTTATTTGAATATTGTTTACATATATATATATTGTATATTTTTTATTTATTCATGTAAAGTGAGCAAGTTCTGCAATGTTGCGTTTATATCTGAGGCTAAGTTTTCTCCGTTTTTTCAGTAAACATATATATTACTAAAATATACTTAACTTATTAAAAATAATGGAAATCCACGCATAAGACATATAGAAAAAGTTACTGCTTCAAAATTATCAGAGAAGAGAGTTACATGGTTAAAAAATAAAACTTACTAAAATCAGCAGGGTTATGATAAGTAGGGCAATCCAAACCTTGACAGGATAGAAAAGTTACCAGACTGTTTACTGGGCCTTGATAAATACATTGTCCTTCAGCAAGCATATACAACTGCAAAAAAAAAAAAATAGTTTATGGCTTACATAACATTATACTTATGTAAAATCAGGAATATAATATCTATTAATTTTGATCTGAAACTAACACTTCTTGTTTTATCAAATTTAATAAATACATAACTATATATATAAACAAGAAATTTGCTTGTACTATTCACAAGATTTCTTGTACTTATTTGAATATAATATTGCAATGTTATAATCTTCTCATGAATAGCTTCCAAATTCTGGGTACGATTGTAAGTAAAAGTTAGTAAGCAATGCAAATAATTTGAGATCATATTTAATCCAGAACAATTGCTTTTTCGTATAAACTGTCAGTAATACTAATTAATCCAATTGTCTAATGAGGAAAGTACATGTAATGAGATATCTAGAGCTTGGCAATATTAAACTATATCAACAAATTAATTCTTTTAATTTTATAAAAGCAGCAAATATGTTTTCATGGATTGAAGCCTGCTAGAACAGTATTCTTGAATCACATGTGCTTAAAGTTGAGAATCAAAATAAGCATTCTGTTTCTGAAAAATTATGAACTGTTCAAAGAATTCGTGATTTTTCTTTGATAGATTGTTTAGGCAGAGTATTCATGATGAAACTTTGTTGAATGGATGGCAACTGCCAATTGTGTTTCTACAACAGGCAGTTGCTGTCCATTCATCTAGGTTTCATCAATTCATGATTTTGTTTTATTTACCTCTAAATAGTTGTAGTGGTAGCACAATTCATCAATACTATTAATAGAATTGATTCAAGAATTGATGATATACATGAGCAAGATATCATAATATGTTTCTGCTATAGTTCGTTTTTTTAAATTTCACACAAAGCTACACAAGGGCTATCTATGCTAACTATCCCTAATTTAGAAGTGTAAGACTAGAGGGAAGGCAGCTAGTCATCACCATCCACCGCCAACTCTTGGGCTACTCTTTTGCCAATTAATAGAGAGATTGGATGTCACATTATAATGTCCTCATGGCTGAAAGGGTAAGCATGTTTGGTGGGATGGCAAATCGAACCCATAACCCTCAGATTGTGATTCAAGCGCCCTAACCACTTGGCCATGCGGGCTATTTCTGCTATAATAAAAAATTTTAAAATGCGAGTTTAAATTAAATCACGACTGTTAATTTAGCTTACAATGAAATGGAACTCTTGAAGGAGAAAACAATAAGGTTCAAGATTACTCTCCAAGTATTAAGCAGTATTTCAATATGTTTTGACAGCATAAAATTTCTAAGCATTTATCTATTAAAGTCTGACAAATTGGTTGCAAAGATCATACCTGAAAGATGCTGTGTTCATGAAATGAGAGAATTAATGTCAAGTGGACTCTAGTGCGTGAATATTATAATTTTTTTAATAAAAATAATGTTAGTCAGTTTGTTTGTAAATATTCCAAACTACCCTGATGTACAGTGATGTTTTCATGTAGTGTACTTTCACTATATATATATTATGGAGTTTTCAATGATGACCCAAATGAATATTTTTCTTTATTAGTATTATTATTAGTATCATTTTTAAACAAGCTGGTTTTATATTGTTTTATTCAGAAACAAAAACAAAAAAACAGTTGAAATTGACCTATTATAGCACGGGTGACTCCCTCTACTATTGCAACACAATCCTCACTTTCTTCATTGGCATTCTAGTGTATAAACGTGTGTTTTAACTCATTCCCATGTGTGCCTAAAAGATTTTTATTGTGCTTGATCACAACTTTATATCAGTTTCGTCTTCTTGTGTTTGATTTACATTGTTTCTATTAATTTGTTTTAGAAATGTTTCTGTTTCCAAATTATACTTTGCTCATATGAAATCGAGATTTAAATGGTGGG